CGAGTTCGAAACCGTTGTGATTGATGAAGCGGCACAGTCGATTGAATTGAGTGCGTTGATCCCGTTGAAGTACGGTTGTTCTAAATGTATTCTCGTCGGTGATCCCAAGCAGTTGCCGCCAACTGTCTTGTCAAAGGTGGCTTCGAAGTTTCAATACGAGCAAAGTCTGTTCGTTAGAATGCAAGCCAACCACCCGAGGGATGTGCATCTGCTGGATATCCAATACCGTATGCATCCAGAAATTAGTGCTTTCCCTAGTTCTGCGTTCTACGATGGCCGACTACAAGATGGTCCTAATATGGCTCAACTTCGCGTTCGGCCTTGGCATCAAAGTGAACTTCTCAGCCCTTACCGATTTTTCGACGTGCAAGGTCTTCATCAGAGTGCTGCAAAGGGACACTCGTTGATCAACATAGCAGAACTTAGGGTGGCTATGCAGCTGTATGAACGCTTGGTGACAGACTTCCGTGCCTTCAATTTCGATCGGAAGATCGGTATCATTACGCCATATAAGGGCCAACTGAGAGAACTTAAGACACAGTTCGCTGCCAGATATGGCAACGAGATCTTCAACAAAATCGATTTCAACACAACGGATGCTTTCCAGGGTAGAGAAAGTGAAGTCATCATCTTTTCTTGTGTGCGAGCCTCCAATAAAGGCATAGGTTTCTTGGCCGACATCCGTCGTATGAACGTCGGTCTCACACGTGCCAAGTCGTCTCTTTGGGTTCTGGGAAATTCTCAGGCGCTTGTCCAAGGCGAGTTTTGGAATGGTCTAATTAAAGACGCACGCCGAAGGAATGTATATACGGATGGGGATGTACTCAAGATCCTCCAGCGGCCACAGTTCACTGGGTATCAGAACGTCGACATGCTGGATGCACAGACTGAGGCTTCAGTGGTGCAGTCGAGGGCTGCATCGGCTGCACCTGTCTCACGACCTTCGTCAGCATCTGCGCGTAACTCCCCATCGGTGTCTGTTTCCGAACAAGAAACTCCTCCGGTGCCTCCCGATGGCCCGTCTGGAGGCGGAAATGGCCTGGATGAGACCCGCACGTGCGGATATTGTGGAAGTTTCGCTCACATGACACATAACTGCGACAATATTGACGCAAAAGAGGCAACCAGGGGTACCTGCCACAGATGTGGGGAAACTGGGCACACACGCTTCCATTGTACTGCTCCGCGATGTGTGGAATGCGGACAGTTTGGACATGTCTCACGCGAGTGCCGATCCACTAAGACTCTACCGAAACATGAGAGATCCAAAATTGCGCGGGAGGAGTCCTATCACGTACAGAACCAGAAGCAAAGAACGGAGCGCCAACGACAAAGGCAACTCGGAGGCCATGATCCCAAGGTGCCTGTTGTCCAAGCTACGCCGAGTGATGATAGCAGTGGCCCAGCAAAGAGGAAACGTAACGACTCGCCACCGACAAATGCTTCGAAGGCCTCGCGGCCGCGGACTGATAAAGCAAACGCTCCTCCACCCGAGGCTCCCAAGGGTCCGCGACGTGGCAAGATTGATGCTAACATTCCATCCAATACAGAGGTAAGAGTAACCTGTACACTTGCGTGCGATAACAACTAACCACTTCTGTAGGGATTGGTAAGACCATCTCGGGATGGCCCAGCGTATGGTCCTCTTGACAAAGGCAAAGCTGTCAACGGTCCTCAACCAGGACCGGGCCCCGCCAACGTATGTTTGGTCTCCAAATGAGCATATGACACACTGTTTACTAATTTGATTCTGCCTGTAGGCACCCCCACGTTCTGGGCCACCAAGACCCGGGAATGGCGCTCGACCTCCCCCGATGCGGAAAAAGAAGGAAGCCGATCCATTCATTAGGCCAAAGCGGAGATAGATAATGCGATGCCTCATGGCAGTTTGGCATATCCATCCTCGCTATGTTTTCTTTTCTCTTCTCTTCTCTTCTCTTATTTACTTTTTCTTTCGGGAGACCTATCACACACTCCATGGGTCTAATGACCGACAGTATGACATGTTGGTCCTTTACTTGCATGCATATGAGCGAGCATGGCGGATTTTCAGTGTCTTTTTCCCATTCTGTTTGATTCTGTATATGCATTCGGGCCGTCTTGCTTGGATTTCGCGCTTCAATCATGTACACTTTTCCATGTTTTCTTTTTCCTACTTAGGGATAAGGTATGAAGGCTCGTGAGCATACGGAATTCTGGAATATCTCGAAGAAGGCCAGAGTTTCAGTGGCGTTTTTGTTTTGACATGGGGTTTGTTGAATTGCTGTTCTACTTTGATTTATTTCCCTTCTGCAGAGGACAAGCGATGGCGGGAAAAGGCTGACAGAGTGTGCTTGTCCAAACATACCCTTAGACGTGAATGGCCCCCCGGCTTTGGCATTTTCATTTCTGCTTCTTACCCCCTTTCAGGATAGATGAGGTCGATGTTGACGTTGGTCTTTGGCAGATGGGAAGGCCTATGCCCAGTGATGGGCATGGACTATTTGCTTGTCAAGGGTAGGAGCACGTATCAATGTGAGCTGACAGGCAACAGTTGCAGGTGCCCTTGACGACGATCAGGCTGATCGGAGAAAACCCGACAATCATCTGTCTGCTTCTATACTGTCATCTCCAGGATAGCTATCTTGCATGGCTGTGGGTAGAAGATTGTGGAACATGGATTGGAATCTGATCCAATGCCCTGTATTCAGGGGGTGATCTTGTTCTCTCCCTCGGACCAGCATCGAGGCACCCTAGGGCGATGACGACGGATCATTCGTAAGCCGACTGGACCGATGGAGTCTTCGGTTGCGTTTGCGACTCTGAATCTTTCCCTATCTTGTAGACATTTACGACGGGTCCGAAGGGATCCCCGGGGGACGCGGCACGCACCTGGGGACCAGTCGCATATCCAGCTGTCTGTCCGTAGATCAATTCCGTCAACTCGTCTGTCAGAGCCGAGCTTGGACGGGATGAGAAGGACCGGGGTCGTGTGAGTTGTCTAGCAGGTTGGCCATCACCAAGATTGGCTTTCGTCTGGCGAGATGAACCGACATGCAGCTTTCTATCTAAGAACTGTAGCTTACTGTGTAGCCATCTCCCGCCACCCTCCACTACTACCCCTACGACTAGTCTCAGTAGAGTAAGTAGAACATGATGTGAGAGTAGTGTCCAGAGTGGACGCGGATGCAACATGGGAAAGAGCAGCAAGCAGCATGCAGGTGTCCCACCTTGCGGCTGTGCGATCGGAGAATTTTCTCTTCGGACAACACACGGACGGTGTCGTTCAGCAGGTCATCGTGAGGGTCGCGAATGAAGGACCAGTGGTTCCTGGAGGACGAGCGTTTGCATGAACTATCTGCTGCAAGGGAGAGCCACTAGTTTGGATCTTCTCTTCCAGTTCCCTTTTCCACTTTGGTTCTCATGCAGTTAGTTCTCCCGCGTCCGGTCTTCTTTCTTTTCTTTCTTTCTTTCTTTCCCATCTGCTCGTTTTGTTCTTTTTGAAAGTTCCTTCTCCAAATCTTCATGTTCTCTCTTTTTTTTTTTTTCTTCTCCCCCACAACACACTAGCTCTGTCTGCGTCTGCATCTCTACATGTACTGCTAGTCGGGGCATAGGGGAGGCAAAGGATGGGATGTGGAGCACAGAAAGCAAACATGCCGTCCCTGAACACGAACCATTCGCGCTGCGAGGCCCACTTTGTTTGGCCAGTTGGAAAGGAGAGGAAGAGAAAGAAAGAGTCAGAGAGATTATAGGGGCCGGGGGGTGGAAGATGTCAGGGTCACCGGATGGAAAGAAAACCTAAGTACATACATACAGAATTTGGTGGTGCTTGTTCCGTCGGCAGCTCTCCAATTTCTTTGTTTGGCAGCTCGTCTATGCCGTCGATAGTCATGAACACTATTTCATTCATCGGGAAGTTGGTTAAGAAAGAAAATAACTACTTTTAAACTTCCATTCCCTGTCCCAATTGGTTAGTTTTGGTGCGTGGATAGTAGTACTAAGTAGTAGTAATAGTGGTAGTGAAGCCCGGAAGACATGGATTGATTGACCGATTGATTGCTTTTCCATTGATTGATTCCCCGAGCTTAGCTCAGCCAGCTAGCTAGCTGACTGGCTAGTCTAGTAGTCTCCAGGTATAGTTACTTACCTATCTACCGACCGACCTACCTACCACTATTATTTCTGGACAGGAAGGGGAGAAGTCGAGAAGGTTCAGTTTTGTGGTGGTGATTTACACCGTTACTTTCGATTTATTGATCAGTGGTGCCTCACTCACTGCCCGACGCTACTAATAAGCAATCTCAGGAATCTCTCCGGGGGGGCATTTCCCTCGTAATGATCGACCCAAATTGCTGGGATTGACCGGCAAGGGCGTTCATGTTGTCCTACGCGAACTTGTTCGTACACTCTGAGGAAATGTGAAGTTGATCGATGATGGTGGAAGTGATGATCGCAAGAGCGTTTGTGGAGACTGATGAATATATTTTTTAATTTAATTTTATTTTATTTCTATCATTAGTTTGAGGGGGGAAATTGGGAGAGGATCCAGAATACCCATTCTAAGCCATGTTCCCGATGTGATGTGTAACCCTTTCTAATTAACTACGGAGTACTATACTAGTATATAGATCCCGATGAACTTGTTTTTAGTTTAGAAACGGGATGGACACATAGGTATCTATCTAGTAGATAGAGAAAACAAAATAGATAGATGGATTGATTGATTGATCGTGTAGGTGTGGAATCACTACAACTTAGTGTAGTTTGAATCTGTGCTAAAAGTTGAACTAGTGAGAGTACTAAACCACTCTCGTAGTGTGTTGTTTGGTTTGTTCGGCATCAACTTTTTATTTTTTTGACTTGCCAATCCCCACTTCTTTGGCTAATCTTGTCTGTGCATCTGTCACATTTCTTCTTCCATTTGACTCCCTAAATTTGGTCCATGCCTTACGGTTGCCGATGATCCACAGATGATACCTCACATTCCCATCCCTCTTTGCTTCCTCGGGATTGGTCTCGCCAACCGTTAACTGCCTTTCGGGACAAGGAGCTCCCTTCTCCTGCTACTCCTTCTCTCTCCACCCCCCTCCCCTCTTTGCGCCCCCAAGGAGGAGGTGGAGAAGTGAAAGAGAGAGAGTGTGTGTGTGTGTGTGAGAGAGAGTGAGTGAGTGTGAGTGTGAGTGTGAGAGCAAGAGTAAGAGTGAGCTAGGGCCTTCTCTCTTCCCCCCTCCCCTCATCCTTCTCCTCCTCCTCCTCATCCTCTTCCCCCCTCCGTCAATCCCCATCACATATCCCTTACTTGTAACGGTTCGCAGGAATAAACTGGTTGGCAACCGCTGAAGATAGGAGTCGGCGACAAGTTTCAACGTCACACGAGACTGAAAGCTGAATGTCGATCCGACAGCCCGCTGGATTGGCTCTCTCTCTGTTGCTTTCTCGCTCGCTCTCCCCTTCACGCCCAGTCCGACAGCAAATCCCAGTGACTCCACTACGTACTACGAAGTAAATCCCAAGAAGAAAATGATCGATTCAATTTGTTGGTCTGACAGGGATCAGCTTGTTCTGACTCAATGCAGCCCCGGCTCCATGCAGCTGGACCAACAGAAAATCCCCAAACTAAATGGCTGGCTATTCAAGTGTCTATCTATCTATCTAGTATCTATCCAACTGAACTACCGAGCTAAAGTAGCTAAACGCGACTAAAGCAGCTCTTCTCAAGGCTAGTGACTCGGGCTAACGAAGTGCAGCCTGGACGATCCCAGGAGCATGGATGACGAAAATCCGCGATGCGCGCGCCCTGCAATGCGCGCGGCGGACAGACGCTTGACTGACTGAACTGACTATCATCGACTTGACAGGAGGAGGAGCTGCTCAGCCGAGCAAATAGTCGCTCGCTGGTCTTCTTTCTTCTTGTCATTCGACGCCATCATCGGCCTCCTTCCCCCGATCGAGAGCGCCTGGCACGGACTCGATCGCTGCTCTTCTCTAACGTTTCTTTCTTTTTCTGGGTTCTTTTTGGATCCTGCTCGTCATATTTTCCTTTTAACGAAATATTCTTTATTTTTATTTTCATTATTATTTTATTCCTTTCCGTTTTCTTTATTATCATTATCCTTTTTGTATTTTCTGATTTTATTTTGTTTTTCCCTTTTCCTTTTTTTATTCTTCTTTTTCTGTGCTTCACAGTACTATCCTCGCCGCTCAGTGCTCTCTGCTCTGCCTTTCCCTTCCCTTTCCCTTCCATTTCACCCCCCCTCTCCCTTGGTGTTTCAACCAATAATGACTCCACCAACCTTGCTTTGCCCCCCCCTCTCCCCTTTCACCTGTTCTTGTAGGGCCCTTGATTACCTGCCACCCTTGTCTTGGGCCCCGGTTACACTATCTAGATCCAACTCTATCGTTCAAGCTATCGGGAACGAGGAAGGCTCGTCATTTGACGATGCATCAACTCCGCATACGGAGGGGACATCGTTAGCCCGTCAGACCTTACCAGGGTGCTGTGCACACACCCCCCCGACTCCAACAGCAAGGGTCTGACAGCTCCTCGAGATTCCCGTGTGAACCCTTCATAAAATCCTGGTTTCTCCTCTCCCCTCGACCTGCCTTTTTCTTTTCCTGCCAGATACCTTGCTGCTCGCTCCGGCGTTGGCAATTCCAAACCGTGACTACTCTGCTCTTCTGTACATACATGCATGCCTCTCTCATCAATTGCATCCTTGCTACTGCTATTCCCGCTTTACTCTTCCGTCTATCTATATCCCGCCTCTTGAGCTAGTGGACTGGCCGCATTACCTGCATGTCCTCATCATCCAACTGATCATACTCGACTGTCTTCCTCAAAGCGGCCATTAACCCACGCGGGATTCACTTTCAACCGCTCGGACAGGGTCACTTCTTGACTGTCCGTGGTTGCCATTAACATTCAGTTTAGACTAGTGGCGGGAGGTTCACCTGCATAAATACCCAGCGGCTGTAGAGCAGCTGCAAGTCCCATGCAGCAGAGCAACGGTTCCCATGACAGCTTAATTGCCCCGAGTCCAATTGTCCCAACTGGTCGGCCGAGTTCCCTGAACACCTCCAGAAGCGCCTACACCATGTCGTCCCTGGCACACGAACCTCGGCAGTCTCGGGATACCCTCCAATCCTCCGAACATCTCGATCTGCGAGATGAGAACGCAACCGATTTCGCCAAGTTTATCGAATCGCAAGGCCCCATCACCGGATCCACTGGAGCCCGGGAGATGCTCAAGGCCGGCCAGAGACGGCTTCGACAACTCGCTCAACGCCCCAAAAAGAGTACTGACCCCAGGTCGAAGGCCGAAGAGTCAGCGCGGCAACTGCTTGCCCTGCAGGAAGGAGGCTTCTTGCCGACGAATGTTCCTGTCCCTGCTGGCGTTCCCTCCAAGCGGTCGACTCACAAGAAAAGCCTGGACTCGAGCCGATCTTCCTCCCGTTCCATTTCCAATCTCAGTTTCATGGCGAACTCTAGACGGGATGTAGAAAGCATTGGACAGCCGTGGCTCACGGATCCACTCGAAAAGAAGGACAGACCGGAGGTTAGCACAAATCATTTGTCTGCGCTGGATCTACGGGAGCTGACATCTTTGGTGGAGGCTGCGGTAACCATTCCCCCGCGCTTCGATGACGCGAATCCCCCGCCGTACCAGCCACCCGTACCGGCGAAGGATGTCAAAGTGGATGCACAGCGCGAGAACCAAGACCCTGCGGTTGCTATCACTGTCGCCGACATCACATCCGGATCCAAGGAGAAACAGTCGCTCGGATCCAGCGATGCGGCGAACCCCAGCATCCAAGTCGACAGCAGTGAAGAGCAAGGACCCGACACACGGTCTGAGGATAATGTGCCAAATGACGGAAAGGCATCAGACAATGACCAGGTAGATCAATTCCTTGCGCGTCTGTAATATGCAAGTTTAACGTTATACAGTCTGGTCTCAAGACCGATGAAGGCGCATTGTCGCCAGGCTTCGTGATCGACTCCGAGGTAGCCAACAAGCCTGCTACGAGCTCGTCTGGTAACTCTTCAGCTCCGACAAGCCAAACCACTCCTTCTTTGAAGCTTTTCCCAGACACAATGCCCCCGCGCAACTCGAGTAAAGGAGCCTGGCGCATCTCCAATGCTCGCTCGCTCGCTCTCAACAGACCTCTCCCGGCGAGCCCTGATCCGGAACAAAGTAGCATGGATACGAATAAAGAAAGTTCTCAACCGACCGATAGCACCACAGTCAAAGAAGGCTGCGGTACTCAGGAGGTATCTGAGCCGATATCATCTACTTCCGCTGATGTTGGAAAATCGGACAAGGAGCCTTTAGCAAATGAAAAGAATTCACAGAAGAAAGGATCTCGCCGACCTTCGTCCCTGCCAATGTGCACAATCGATGCGTTCCCCTTGCCAGCACCCATGAGACCCTTGCCTTCTCTTCCAGAATCAACTGCAACGAGTGGTGCTCACAGTCGCAGCGCTTCTAGCAGGTCTGCGCCTCTTGCGAGACTGGTGCTGGATGAGAGAAACCAGGCCTCTAATGCGCATGATGAATCGGCCAAGGCTACACTGGCTATGTCTAACTCTCTTCCCTTAGTACGGGCGGGGCTGAGTCGGGCCGAACGAGTTCATGCATTGAAGATGAGAGACATGTCGGCGAGCCGTCTCTATCTTAAGGAGTCAGAGACCCCTCATGAGGAGGAAGAGGATTACCAGCCCCCGCGGAGTGCAAAGGAACCCGAAGAAGCAATAGCTCATGAACGTGTGGAGGCATATGCTCCTAGGCCTGAGTCTGAAAAGTCGGCAAATCGCAACGTGCGCTATCAGCGGAAAGTTGCCTCGGACCCTCCATCTCCACCGCCACTCTCCCCTCCGCCCTCGAAGCCGTCCAGACACCAGATTAGCCAATCTATTGGCAGGCGTTACTGCAGCACACCTCTTACAGGTAGTGCAGTATTGGCGAGAGATTCTGAGCCGCAGATGCTCCCTGCCTCCAGGGACGCCCCTGTTCGTCGGAGTAGTAGCACTCGAAGCGTGACCTCTTCGCATGAGCGAGCGAGAAAAGAACAGGACCCCGTGGGCCGCTCCGACGTTCCCATTCCATCATCCGACGACGAGTGCACCAGCGCAAGCGCGCGCCAGGATCAAGCCCGTCCAACTTCTAGTCGACGCCGACGGATGAGACCAGCACCCCTTACCATGAATGAGCACCGCTCACACAAGATGCGCGCGACAAGGAGGTCTTCCGACTACTGCCTGTCGCCGGGAAGCCACCGAACCCGTGCCTCCGGACGGGCGTCGCCACAGTCGCATCATACCCAGAGCTCCTATTATTCTCGGGACTCACGAAGCTCCCACCACGACACGATCAGGGCTCTTGAAGGGCGCATCGCGCACCTTGAACGACAGAACAAGATCCTCCAGGCCGCGCTTATGGCCGCGTTGGACGTGGGCAGTGTAGAAAGCCTGCTTGGGGGATCTGCTACCTCTCTATCTACTTCGGCGAACACGCCAGCAACAGGACGGTCCTTCTCGTCTACGAACAGCTCCAGCTTGGATGAGTCGATGGTGGACGACCGTCGGCGTAGTCGCAGACGGCAGCCACCCTACCGTCCAACCAGCTGGATAGCGAGCCCGGTCTCTAGCAGACGGGGCAGCTATGATACGGAAGACAGTGAGAATGTGAGAGAATTGGAGGATATGATTGAAGATTTTGATATGGATTGGATGTCTGAAAGGTCGAATCCTTCGAGCTTTCAGATGTCCTGAAGTTGATGTCAAATGGTGCAATGGCGATTGTTGATGTTTTTACCACGCTCTTTGAAATGTCCGATCTTAGGATGAGGATTTATGCGCGTCCCTGGTGGATGGAATTTGTTTCCGATGTCATTCCCTGTTACTTGCAGATATCTCCTATGTTGTTTGTTGCACGATACCACTTTGTTTTAGTTGATTTACCTTGAATATACTACTCTTTCCTACGTCATACATTCGCAACATCGTACTAGCAGAGAGTCTGCTCGTGCAATTAGAGATTGTAAATGTAATGCACTGAATGGATATTTCATAAAAAACAGGCAGACCTACAAAAGGGGTCTACGGAGTCAGTAGTTTCACAATAAGTGGTGCTCCAGCCAACGACGCAGCGCAAAGACCACGGACCAGCACCTAAGGCCACGCACTAGCGACTCCGGAGAATTGTTGATCACCACCACCAGCAGCGCAACTCCCAACTTCCAGCCAAACCAACATACTCACCAAATCAGCCTCTACACCAGATATACGTTCCCACACAAAAGCATGCGATAATAAATCCCTCCTCAAATCGACACTTACAACACCCACAACACACTCAGCAGAAACCCACCACAGAAACAACACAATGACACTCCTACCACCACCGACAACGTCAACAGTACGCCCTTTCCCCTCCCCCTCCCCCCTCACAACCAACCAACAATAAAACAAAACCCAGAACAATAACAACAACAACAATCTAACTCGTCAATGAATAGACTCAAATCCCCCAACATGTAACCGCCCTCCTCTCGCACCTCACCTCCCGCCCCGGCGTCCAATCCACCTTCATCCTCTCCCGCAAAGACGGCTCCATAATCCAGAGTACCGGGCTGTATGCGAAACCGCCATCTCCTTCTCCCTCGAGTGCAGCTACAGCTGCAGCTGCGGCACAGCAATCACCGCGCAATGAGACCATCTCTGCACCTGTAGACGGAACCGACACCGAGACCGAGCCGCAGACTGAAAACGAAGCTGGGACTGAGCCCGCGCTCACCGAGACGGATGCTGCTCAACCCCCGACTACGAAACAGCCACAACAACTACAGCAGTCTAAAGAAGGAGGGACAACGCAACCGTATCAACCGTCGCAGGGCGAGGCTCTAGCGGCGCATATCTTTGCGTTTGTGGCTAGTGCGTCGGAACTTAGTCTTGCGTTGTCTGGGGCGGAGGATGATGGGGATGGGGATGGGGTTGTTAGACAGGTTGATGGAGGCGTTTTAGGGGAAGGAGTGGGTGGTTCTGGTTCTGGTGCTGGTGGTCCTGGGGAGAAGGAGGAGGGCGATGATGAGGTCAAGTTGTTGAGGTTGAGGACGAAGAGGCATGAGATTGTGGTCGTGCCGGATAGGAAGTTTTTGCTTTGTGTGGTGCATGATGCGCATCATGGGGGTGTTGGGGCTGGTGCGAGTGGGGGTGCGGCTGGGGGGAGGAGGTAATTGGTATTATTCATGGTTTGGTTTGGGACTGGTTAATGGATGTTGGTGGGTAGGTGGTGGCGGTGGTAGTGATTGATGAAAAGATGGATA